GGGGGGGGGGCTTTGTGAAGGTGTTAGCGTGCTAGCATATTAGCAACAAAACAAAAAGTTCATAAATATACTGGTCGTGTCCCATCAGGGGGAGGAGCTTGAGTTTGTGATGCTTGTACGGTGGCCCCACCCCCTCTACACATGTGACTCCACCTATAAGATTCAGTAGGCGTGGCCTCTTCTGCTCAATAGATTTTTTTTTCTAGTTCTTTTGTCATGCAGCCATTCACTTCCTGTCTGGAGGAAGAGAAGGAGAAAAGGGAGGATGAAGAGGAGGAGTTGACTCGATGTCTGTTGTGCACGATCTTGAAGAGGAGATACTGAAGGAGGAAGAAATGAAGAGGGAGGCAGAGAAGATGACAAGGATGTGTCGAAGGAAGAGGCGGATGAAGCGGTGGGAAAAAGGAAGAGCAACTGCTGAAGAAGAAGAGGCAGGATGAAAAAAAGGATGAGGACAAAGAAGGTGGAGAAGCACGATAGCGATGAAGAGGAGCAAGAGAAGAAGGTCGCGGTTGCGTTCATTGTTTGTGTATGTCTTCGCTCCGAATGATCTTGTAGATGATCCAGTAGAAGATGTTGAAGATGAGGAAGACGAGGGGGAAGGCCACGCGCGACACCGTGTCGATGCGTTTGGCGCGGCTGATGAAAAGTTTCTTCATTTCCTCGATGCTCTTCTCGGGCACCGCCCCCACCGCGTGCCCCGCCCCTCCTCCCGGCGCATTGTTGTTGTTGCCTTTGATGGCCGCCATGCCGTCCTTCTGCAGGCACGCTGGGCCCACGCCGTAACCCGAACCTGGGAAGCTGAAGCGACCGTCGCCGCCGCCGTCATCCTCCTGCAACCACATCACACACACACACACACACACACACACACGTGAGCCATCCACGCATACGTCCCAACGATCCTCGGAGCTGAGTTGTCTGAGACTTGATGCCCATTGGAAGAGTCACCCATGGCAAACAGGTCCTCAGTGAAGGACAGCTCAAAAGACTTCCCGTGGTGATTAAAAACCAAAGGACAGCGTTTTTTTTTTTTTTGGGCTCAGGGGCCAGTCAACTTCGGATGGGTTCAACTCTCTTCCACTCTGGAGTTAGCCACCATCAGAGGTACCAGCTCAGCAGCTGTACATTGGGAGGGAGGGGGGGCATTGAGTCAGAGTGGACTATGTTGCCCGCCTCCATTGCTGAGGCGGTCGACTGGAGCCGTGGCCGTAAAAGTGGGCGGTGCCTGTCGTGGCGGACAACCCCAAAACGCGTCAGTGGACACCAGCAGCCAGGTATGCCGATAAGCTGAAGAAGGAGCACTTTGGCGATAGGTGATGGTTCCCGGCTAGGCAAGAAGGATGCGGCTTTTGCGATTTCCGAGATAAGAACTCTGTGGGCGGAGTTCGGTGGGGCTACGGAGAAAGGCTTTGAGACAGTTTTGAGGAAATTCCAGTTCACCATGCGTCATTTCTGGAAGCGATGCACAAACTGTGTATCATGGGGATGGGTTCCTGCTGACTTCGAACGGGACGTTGTGAGCCGGTGGGGAGAAGACTTCCCACATTCCACTGAGGAAGCAGGTAACCTCTCGGACAGTATCCCTTAGAACTAAGGTCACCAAGGTGGTGAAAATGCTCCTCGGTGGCAGGGCCCTGGGGGCGAGAGAGCTCCGCCAGGAAATCCTAAAAGCTCTGGATGTCGTGGCGCTGAAACACCGCTGCAACATCGCACGGACAGCGAGGACAGTCCCCTTTTTAACCCTTTCAGGGACAACGGTTACTACAGTGGACAGCCTACCATGTAATTACAAGCTTGAACTTTTCAGTCCACCAATAAAAGCACGTCATGAATGAGCCGCCTCACCTTCCTTGCCTCTCCCCATCACTCATATTTAAACCACAACAAATAACATGGAGATGCACACCGGCACACCCTGTGTGTGTTTGTGTGTGTGTGTGTGTGTGTGTGTGTGTGTGTGCGTGCGCATCAGGTAACATGCTCCATTTTTAGCCTTCGTGTCCCAATTCTGTCCTTGACTTCAGGCAACACGATGTATTACACTATTGTTGTATCTCTCTCAGACACACACACACACACACACACACACACACACACACACACACACACACACACACACACACACGTTGCGCACGCACGGACCTCCGTGCGCCCTTGAGCTAAACTATGACAGATGATGGCCGTTCCTGCTTGCCAGGATCAATGGGAGACAAAAGACTGGAGGAAAGGGGAGGTAGAGAAAGAAAAGGAGGACGGGGAGGAAAAAAAAGAGTCGGAGAAGCCTTGATGGCATCCGAAGTAACTTCCTGGGAACATGAACAGGAAGTGGAATCAACAAAGAGAACGGAACAGGAAGTGGAAGGAAAATATGAAGAGAGCAACAGCGAGTGGATGGAAAGCAAGAGTGAATGAGAGCAGGTGGAATAAAGAGGGAGAATAAGACAAAGCGGAAGAGGCAGAAAATAGAAAGAAACAAAACGGGAAGTCGAATTAAAAACAAGCAAATGTGGAATAAAAGGAGTGAAGGAAAAAGAAGAGGAATGAAAAGATACGAGAGAGCAACAGGAAGTTGATAAACAGGAAATGGAAGTATAACTTTTCGCTCTGGCTTTCCCTCTTGTTTTTTTTTTTAACTTTCTTTCCGGGAAGTTAAGCGTGATCCTCAACGACCAATCAGAGAGCTGCCCTGTATTCCGGCATGCTCATCAATCAAACGTCCCGTGGAGCCACGCGTTGCTGAGCGGCGTCCCTCAGGGCGTTGCGCTCGCCGCCGTCGAGCTTCTCCACCGCCAGCGGGTGGATCGATGGTGGCTAACAAGCCGCCTCCAGTGCCACGCTAATGGCTCCGCCTCTTAATTGGAGCTGACAAGGTCGCGTCATCTCTTTATCGATCGGCGCCCAATCGTCTTCGCTTGAAATGCTAATCAACTCAGACCATTAATAGGGGTCACATTTGAGGTCTTTCAGTTGGACAAAAACATACCTAGTGGGAAATTTTGTCCCGTTTGAAGAACGCTGAATTTTTTGTTTGGTTTCACATGACCACCTTATACAACATTTGTCAAATTATAAACATATCAGGCAGCCAAAAGCAAATGTTTTTCTTCTGAGATTTTAATTCTGGGCATTTGTGTGAAAATTTTTTGTTGGTTTCCTGTTATATTATTATCTTTGGTCAGATTTGAGGAGATTTGGGTGAACAAAAATAGACTTTTTGTTTACGTCTTCTTAAGTATGATCAAAAGAGTTTGTATGGACAAACCAGACATTTTTTTTTTGTTGGTTTCCTCTGTATGACATCACAGCAAGAGCTGTTCACGCTTGACACATTTCTTCACATTTACGGACTTTCAGGCAGACAAAAACATCTTTTTAAATTCATTTATATTCCAAAAGTTAATTTCAAGCCGACATTTTTTGATTGTTTCCTCTGTTTGACATTTATTTTAGTACATTACCTTCACTATTCATCTTTCATTTTAAAATTTAAGGAAGACAAAAACAAAACAAAAAAAAAAAAAAATCCCTTTTTTTTTTTGCCAATGTTTGTCTTCTAGGAACCATCCAAAACATTTGTGTCGACATTTTGTTGGTTTCCTCTGTTACATGACTCGATTTGTCAGAATTTTTTACTTTCTGGTGGACAACATTTTTTTGTCCATATTTGTCTTTCGAAACCCAATTTAATTCCCAATTTAGTGTTTGTTGGAAATGTAGACATTTGTAGCGAAAGTTAAAGAAATGACCTTCATGTGCCGTCGCCGCCGGCGGAAGCGAAGGAGTTCTTTGTGCTGGCGAGCGATGAAGTTGACGGCGGCGTACTCCAGCAGCGCCGAGAAGACGAAGAGCAGACACACAGCCATCCAGATGTCGATGGCCTTCACGTATGACACCTGCCGACGACGGCCCAGAAATGCATTAAAACAAACTCTCTCGGACACAGGTGTCAAAGTCAAGGCCCGGGGGCCATATTCGGCCCCCCCACGTCATTGTATGTGGCCCGCGGGAGCCAATTATTCAAATTTGCACAAATGGCCAAAAATGAGCATAAAATGGCTGCTTCAGAACAAAATAGCAGACTTCCTGCAGCTTGTGTTTAATTGATTGTTTTATGGGTCCATCCATGATAGAGATGCCTACCAAAGTCGATGTTGCTACAGAAAACTGGCTTTGGGGGCAGAAAGTTAAAAAGAAATTCCAGGGGCAAAATGCGACCTCGAAAATGGTTGCTTCAAACCGAAATGGAAGACTATGTTTTCTTATGGCATGCCCTTTTGGGACTTTCTAGTTTTGTGGGCCCTCTCATCAGAGACATTTCTACCAAATTTCACACTCTTATGTGAAACTGTGAAATTTAAGGGGCAAAATTTCTGGGGAATGAGCCCTCAAATGATTGTTTCTAACCAAAATGGCTGACTTTGTGTATCTTTTGGGGGCTTGGCTTCTTGAGACCTTTTTGTGGGTCTACTCATGTCTGCCAATTTTCACTGGGGGCTGAATTTTCAAAGCACGTTGACACCTGCCACTGGGCCCATTAAGGAGTTCTTGAGTTTCAAAAAAAGTCCTTAAAATGTTGATTCATTTGGTTGACAAATAACAACAACAAAAAAAACCCTAAAGTATTTACACAAATGCTGAGTAGTACAAGAAAGCGTCATGTTCGTGTACACAAGAAGCTAACTGTGCTACCTACGCTAACGGCGTTCTGCTCATTGCCTGTGCACTTCCTTCCTTCGCTAATCTCACCTTCATCATGACGTGCAGCGACTGGATGTGCAGCAGTGTGTGTCTGCGCGTGTGTTTGTGTGTGTGTGTGTGAGTGAGTGAGCTACACTCAGGTGTGTGTATGTGTGGGTGTGTGTGTCCGCGAGCGCGCATAAGCTCAGCTGTGCTGTGTGATCATTATTGTGACAGCTGAACTGCAGCGGAATCACGGTTCACTTGTTCAATTTTTAGAGCGCATGAAGCACCTAATGTCCACAAACCGCGCACTTTTGCGTGTGTGTGTGTGTGTGTGTGTGTGTGTGTTTGTGTGTGCACGCGCGTGTACACTCCGTTAGTGAGTGTGTGTTGGGGATTACAGCTTCCCTGGACATAATTATACAATCCTATACTGGGTCACGCAAGCTATGACTGTTTTTCTTTCTTTAATCTGAAAATCCCTCACAGGAAAACATTTAGTTGTCTTTTTTTTAACTTCTCTTTTTTTGTTCATCTTTCCCTTGCACGTGAACATTGGCTGTGTTTGGATACAATGACTCATTCTCGACTCACGAAGCGCTATTTCAAGATTTTTATTTCGTGGACTCTACAGTGGACCTGATAGTTCCACGAAAAAAAAAAATGCCTTTGTCGTGATTATGAGGGAGTCAGGAATGAGTCAGCGATTCGGAATTGTTCGTCACTCGCCTCCTACCTACATACAAGTGTTCGTACCTTAAGTCTGCGCTTACAAATTTAAAGCAAAGAAAAATTTTTGTCTTGAAAAACTCGCGTCAGTTGCATCTCCAGGCACCACTGTCCCCGTTTTATTTCCTATAGTGGACGATATTGTTGACTAAAAATGAGCGACTTTGAAGGCGCTATACAGTGGATAAGCTTGAGTCGCTACACATTTCAACAGCAGTGTAAAATGGCCGACTGACTACAAATACGGGATGCCACCAAGTAGCTCTGAAAAGGCCACTGTTTTTTTTTTTTTTTTTAATTGCGGCTGACCTTGGGCAGGGAGGCCCTGGATCCCGAACTCTGGGTGGTCATGGTGAGCACGGTGGTGATGCCCAGGCCCACTCGGGCAGGGGCAGCGTCCATGTTGATCCAGAAGGACACCCAGGACAGGATGACGATGAGGAGCGACGGGATGTACATCTGGATCAGGTAGTAACCCATCTGACGCTCCAGATGGAAGCGGGCCTCGATGCACGTGAACTTGCCTGAATCACAACGACATCGCAGCAACATCAGGAAAAAAAGAACACCAAAGAAGGACATCCAAAGCTCCCGACAGACATATTCAGGTGCGTCAATTTCACTTGACCGCTCCAGAAACGACCATTTCGTTGCTTCATTTCAGTGTTATGTCAAACTCATCTTACAACACTACCTGAATAAATAAACGAACACCTCGGACGGATGATTTGATTTAAGAAATGAGATTTATTACAACAAACACAGAAAAAGGTCACAGAACCAAAAATTAGTACCGCTGCATACTGGTATTGATTCCCAGGTACTGGTGCAAATGTTTACACTTCAGCTTTTATCGCGCTATGTAATGTTATCGTGAGGAGATTCAATTCACGTATTTTCCGCACTATAAGGTACTTTGGATTATAAGGCGCAACGTCAATGAATGGCCTATTTTAAATCTGTTTCCATATATAGGGCGCACCGCATTATAAGGCGCATAGAATAGAAGCTACACTAGTGGCTGCATTTGCGCTATCCATCCACTAGATGGAGCTACACTAAAGGGAACACAATACAATGCGGCTTTATTTATACAGAGCCTTCACAACCTTTGCAGCTGTAACAAAGCCATGAGAACTGGTCACAAACATGGACATGAAACATAAATATGAATGGCTTTAGAAAACAAATGAAAGACAAAAGTTATGAAGACAATTGATTCAGCAAAAAAGGCACACGAACCTCGCGGGCTCACATCCACAAAATATCTCACAAAATGTCTCCTTCTTCCTCCGTTTAGTCAGTAGTTAACGATGCTTTTGGTATTATCTTCATTTCATAACGGCTGTGCAGAGCTCTCAAAGTAGTTGTCTGTTTTGAGTGTGTGTTGGCGAATGCACCTGTCAATTAGTGTGGGGCAGAACCCTTTTAGGTTATAATCGGTTCCTAATAATCACCACTAGATGGCATAGGAACACTAACAGGGAAATAACAAAATGGGGCCTATAAAGAGACTGTAACTAACACTATATACAAGAGCACACTGTCAGATTTTGGGAAAATTGATTGCATTTAGCTGCGCCTTATAGTGCGGAAAATACGGTATACTGTAAAATGAACTTTCAGCCAGATTAAAGTGCTCTATAAATAGAGTTGGGTTGAGTTGGGTCTGCACCAACTGCGGCGAAAGGAGGACATGAGGAGACTCAATTTGACGGCGGAGGAAGCAGACGAAGAGTCGGAGAAGGTTCAAGTAGGCAGTCAGGAGACGAAGGAGTGGGGAGGCATCTGTGCCGGCTGAAGCGTGAGGTGGAGTTGAGGAGAAAGAAGTTGACGGTGTAGAAAGCAGTCTGCCATCTTTGTCATCTCCGGCAACATCAAAATGCAGGAAGCAAACCACAGCGACAGGAAGTCAAATGGCCGCCGACGGAAAAAACACGGCCGACGCTACACTGGAAAACGTTCATGTCGCACAATCATAACAAATTTCTGCCTCTCAATTCTCTCGACAGTTGACGGAAATGTCCATGAAAAATCCCAGTATCTCAGTCTCTCCATGATGTTTACAAGCAAAAGTTAAAGGGGAACTCCAGGCATTTTTTTTTGTTTTTGTGAGTCTAAACACGGCCTTCACGTTAATTAATACTGCGTTGATAGATTGAAGAATTTTCCTCCATCATTTTACCGCCCTCTGCTGTCGACTGAAACCGACGTCCAAAGTGCCTTCGGGCTCGCATTGCGAACATCACAGCTCACCTCTTCTCTGCGGTTGGTCAAATGATGATGGAAAGGAAATCGCAAGTGTTCCCCTTGTGGGAAATGTGGCCTACAGGTGAGCAGATTGGACTTTCCCAAGACGGCCCATCCTCAACGACGCATTCCGACGGTGCTACAAAATGACTACCACCACAATTCCCAACCCAGCCACATCTCCACACCGCTACGTCAACAAACCCTTACAAATGCGCCACGTAAGATGGCTGACCGGCCATTTCATAAGCACCGTCAATATCTGCAACAACCTTCATATGCCTCAAATATCAAGCGGGGGAGGAAGAAGTAGAGGAGACGGAAAAAAGAGGGTGCCGCGGCTGGATTTATGCGGACGATACACTTGAGAGCTTTTAAGATACGTCCATATTTTCCATCCCAGGACAAGATTGAAATGATTCATCCGTGTGTGTGCGCGTGTGTGTGTGTGTGTGTGTGTGTGTGTGTGTGTGTGTGCGTGTGTGTGTGTGAGAACTTTGTGTGCGCGTGTGTGTGTGTGTGTGTGTGTGTGTGTGTGTGTGTGTGTGTGTGTGTGTGTGTGTGTGTGGGTGTGTGTGTGTGTGG